AGAGAGAGGGAGAGAGAGAGAGGGAGAGAGAGAGAGAGAGGGGGATGAACACCTGCGTGAACTTGTCATCGAAAAATGAGTTGATGGAGCTCTTGTTGACGTATTGATGAAAACCTTTATTTTTTCGAAATTTAACATTTTATGTGTTTGTTGTGTCTTCCTCAGAGCCAGCGATCATGGGTAGACAAGAACTTCCACAAACGGGAGTGTGTCAAGTTCATCCCGTCTCACCGCGACCATAGCAGGTTTGTTCCGCTTTTTTACTTTACCCGTCCCGTCCAGGGTTTCTTTTTCATCCTAATTATACTCTAGTCCTTTTTATGCCCTCATCGACACAATTTAGGAGGTGGACTTCCGACTGCCTGTCAGGGCCAACCCGGGCTGTGACTAAGGGAAACAGCATCCCAGCTGAAAGACGGAGAGCCGAGACACTCGATAAAAATGTACTTCCCACTTGGAAATCGAACTGGCGTCTCCTGTGTGCGAAAGCGAAGCGCCTAACCGCTACCCCACAGACGCCGCGACGCGGGTCTCCTATGCGAGCAGCGTCTATGTAATATGGTCTAGCTCGTCGTTGCTGCACGCAAAAAGACGTGAGTTCGATTCCCTTGAGAGGTGTCGATTTTTATCCAATATCTCCGTCTATCATGCTGGGATGTTGTTGCCCACTCAGCCTGGATTGGCCCTGGCTGGCCGGGTCGGAACAACTCGCCCCCTTTTAACTCTTTGACGACGTAGCGGGCACTACATCCGCTCAACAGCAGAACAAAGGCAATGTTGCTGCACATTGCTAACCATCGTACACGAACCATAAGCACACATTTTCGTATTTCATAAACTTTGCACGTTTTTGACTGCCTTTTGAAACTTCAGATAAAGAAAACAGCAAGTGAAGAATCAGTAGTAATAGCATTATAGTTCTGCTTTTTTAAAAATCGCCCCAAAACAACTTGTCCCGTTGTCGGAGGACCAGAATGCGTGTCGTCTATAAGTATGAGCTAAGTGAATAAAATTGCGCTGATGGATGCGTTGCATATCTTCAGTTAACCCTCTCCGTAGGTGGTTGGCGAAATGCTCTTTTGTGGTTTTCTCCTTCTTTTTTTTCAAGCATCTATCGTCCTTATCTCTACTCATTCTTTTATGTGTTTGTTACTCTCTTGTAATAAGTTTTATCTTTGGCACGTATATGACCTTATTGTGTTGCAAGTGCTGTAAAACTTACACATACTTAAACTTTAGAAAAAAAAACTTTCTCTCTTATCAGTCTGCATGTAGACGTTTCTTCGATTCGTTCCTGATTCCACAAGACCTGTATAAAAGTAGTTGCGTTTCTGGCTATGTTATTTCTGACCTATTGCCAACATTATATCACGACGCGATTCAATGTCCGTGTATCAATACCATAAATTCTTCTGAGTCACAGTCACATCCTTTAAAAGGAAACAAGTCACAGGATATCTACGTATCGCGCGGGAGATGTAAAGAAAATATGTACTTTAGCCTTGATAACCACAAATGATGGTAATGATCATCATTTTTCGTTGCGTGCGACGAGAGAATGTTTCTGAAAAGTCCTGTCTATTATTTTATCTTATTTAATTCAATTTAATTCAGTTTGATTTTATTTTTATTTTATTTTTTTTAATTAATTTTTTTTGGGGGGATGCGGTGTTGTTGTTGGGTCTATTTTTCATATAGCTGTTTTTACGCCTCCGTTGACTCAGTTTAGATAATTGAGGAGGCGGGCTTCTGGCCCTCCCTGTCAGAGCCATCAAGGGCTGATAAGGATAAAACATCCCAGCAGAAAGACCGATATATTCGATAAAAATGTTTTCCTCTTTCGGGAATCAAACTCCGCTCTCGTGCGTGCAAGTGCCTAGCACCGTCCTAATCGTTATACCGCTAGGCCTAGATGTATTAAACTAGAGCTGTATCTAGTAAAGCTCTGAGGTACCGTCTCGTTTGAAGATCGCTATTTCATTCGATATCTGACTCTCTCAGACAAATGCACAAGCCGAACCTCTTCCAGCATTCCATTCTGCATTTTTGTATATGTCTGGGTAATTGGTAGGATCTGTTGCCATTATTTATTCTAACTGTTTTTAATCTGTTTGTGGCACAGGGCTATCGTCTGGCTCCTAAATGATCCAAATTGTGTCGATGGGGGAGTAAAAAACGCATACTTTTTTGTTAAAGGCCGTCGTTATCGTGCCAAATTATATCTTGGCCTCCAGCTCGTGAGAAAACAGCGACAACATCAACAACTCGTCGGCAAAGAGCCAATTTAACCTGTACTTACGCACATCATGCTTTTGGGACAGTTTCCCAGGAAGGAATGAAACTGATTCGATTGTTGCTAAAGGAACAATAATTTTTACACTTGTTTTCATAATTCTGGAGAAAAAAAAACAACCTTTCATTGCCCATTGTACTTGGTAAAATCGTAGCATAATTAGGCTTTTAAAAATATTTCTGAAAAAACAACAACCCATTTTCGATA